ATGGATGCTGGAGACTGAGTTTCTGACCTTTTTATGTGGTAAGGATGAGGTGGTTCAGTGGCAATATTTATCGTGGGGAAAGAGAATAAGGCGTGAGAGGACGAGTGCTGCGCCCTACGCCTGCCAAGGTAGAATGCTGCCCAATACAAGAGGACAGCTCTGCTTCACCTTTACGACAGTCTACACAGGAAAGAGTAGCTCAACGGTCATAGTGAAAAATGGGTCGTCGACGACGGCAAAAGTCGTCATTATAACCTTCAGTGCGCGCTCCTTATGCCCCTACACTCCTTACCTCCTCACCTCTCACGTACACCGACTTCTGTTTGCTGATGTGGTCCTTACTTCCTGCCTCCTAAACTCCGTTGTATTTGATCCCATACAAGCAGTCAAGACTTGCATTTTCTCAAAATCCGGAACTTGATGTCGCTGCCATCTGTAGAAATAAAAACGACAGCGCTGGTAGGTGATAGAAATAAAAACGACAGCGCTGGTAGGTGATAGGGTCACGCTGCGGCGCGACAAAGACCCTCACCTCGCAGGCTCGAGATGATCAGAGCACAGACGACCGACTGCTGGTGGCTTCAAAGGCTGCGTTTATACTTTGCGGCAGCGTAGCGTAGCGTAGCGCAGCGCTTCCAGCGTACGCCAGCGGCAGTGCCGGGGAAAGGATAGATATCGATCTAGCTTCACCAGCGTCACCAGCGTACGCTAGCGTAGCCAGGTACGCTAGCGCACGCTGGCGCTTACGGCAGGGAGTAGAGACTATGTGGCCGTGAGAGACGCGGAATCGACGTGTATTGTAGAGACTATGTGGCCGTCGGAGACGCAGAAGCGATGTGTATTGTAGAGACTATGTGGCCGTCAGAGACGCGGAATCGATGTGTATAGTAGAGACTATGTGGCCGCCGGAGACGCAGAAGCGATGTGTATTGTAGAGACTAGGGGCGAGTGAGAGACGCGCAATCGATGTGTTCTGTGCCCTCCGGCTCTCCCATAGTCTCTACTCCCCTGCCGCTGCAAACGCTTAGCAAAAAAAAATTGTGTGAAACGGCTTGCGAGAAACGTCTGGGTGTACGCTAGGTGCGCTTGCGTCCCCCCCCTCCCCCCCCCCCCCCCCTTGACGGCCTGGTAACGGCTGGGAACGCTAGATCGATATGCATCCTCTCCCCGGCACTGCCGCTGGCGTACGCTGGAAGCGCTACGCTACGCTGCCGCAAAGTATAAACGCTGCCAAAGAGCGCATTGGGTCAGACTTTGCCGTGATGCTGCGTGGGCACCGGTGTTTTGACTATGACAGCACCAAAAACTTCTTTACCTTTTATTTATGGAAGTCTCATTGTGAGAATGATCCGGGTGGAAGTCAACGTGCACGTCACAAACGTTGTCATGGCCTCTCATAACTGAAGATTATTTTCGATTAATTTTTTATTTCAGTTCTTGTGTGCTGCCTTAGCAGAAGTTTTATAATGACGAGGGAGAATATATCTCTACCGCAACTCAATGTTTCCAAGTAGAGATAACTCGAATTGGTTATTCCTTACATTAAGTCCGTTCAGTTTCTTGAGGAGTACCCGTTGTCACTTTTCTTGTAGTTCGGAGTCTAGTGCTCTCCCTATCAGATGATCTCAAGACCTTGCGAACTCGTGTCTACCCACTCGCCGTTCTCGTGCGGGTACCTGGACGGGGTCGATCTCCATCTTCGTACCTGATTCTATCCAGTCGAGTCCGGCCACAATCCGCTCAGCTCTTATCTCAGCAGAGTACAAATCCTACTCTATATAGTTCGCTAAGCATGTCTGTCCGTGTGTGTGTGCGTGTGTGTGTCTGTGTGTGGTATGTCTGTCTGCCACGAAATTCATAGTGTCGGTCCCAGTAGCAGTGAGACATTGATTTCAAGAAGTGATGTAGCGGATGTGACGGGAACACTATTGGTGGGTGACAGGAAGTGATATCAGCTGATAAGATGCGATAAGAGGCGTTAAAAGGGGAGGTTACCGTATTCATAACGCGGGTGACAGCATCAGCTAGCTCTTGATTCTGAGGTATGATATAGGGTATGGGCCAAGAACATCATTAGTGGGTCACAAGAACTGTAAGCTTCTGATAGGATTCTATAAGGGGCGTTAGAAAGGTGAGGTCATCGTATTCACAGCATAGGTCACAGCATCAGCAAGGCGTACATTTTAGCAAGTGATATAGAGGGTGCGATGAGAACATCAACCGGGGGTGACCGGAAGCGATACCTACTGATAGGGGCTGATAAGGGAAGTTGCAGTCGCTGTTCAAGGTGGTTCATGCTACTAATCATAAAAATTTAGTGATGAGGACATCGATGACGGGTGGCAGGTAATCTTATCGATCGATAAAAACAGATAAGATACCATCTGCGCTACATTTTAATCACCTTCTTACTTTCACTTCAATGCCGAGTACTAGAGACTCAGTGTGTGAACTCTTTCCTTTGATGGCAACAGAATCAAGGTCGTCAATCAAAGTATTTACTTTTAGATGCATGCAATGGCGCCGAGCGGGGAGGGGAAGGGGAGGGCGGGGTGATCTAGTTGCGGCCTGTAGCGGGCAACCAGAAATTTTTTTCAATCAAAAATCATTTCCGCAATTCTGCCGCTACTCCTAAATGCATTAGGAGGCGGGTTATTTTTCACACGTGCACCACTGCATTACTGATTGACACGCGCCCACCGTCCGCAGCCCCTACCACTATAATAATGACTGGTATTGGTTTTTTTTTCAAACTTCATTTTAACATTCTAAAAAAATAACCTTGGCACATTTCGTACCTCACCAAGGAAGAGTGTCTTGGGCGGAATTTAGAAACAAGGAAAAACAAACATTGGGGAAATGCATACACTCCACAGCACAGATGATCCGTTTCGCCCGGTGTCGTAGACGAATCATCGAAGTCTTACCAACCCCTTCCTACCAACCCCCCAGGCTCCGTCAGCTACCGAGCAGGGTGAGAGACATGGAACATAGACTACACGGGAAGGAGCAAGAAATAGGACAAAAAGAGAAAACATGTAGAAAAAAATTCATGCAATAAAAATGAGAAGGAATTGTACAGTAAAAATGAGAGAATGTTATAAAGTTCTGAGTACTAAATACGTGTAAGAGGAAGAAAATTGGAATGGAGTAGATGGGCAACCAACTAAGGGAATGTTGAGTAAAAGACACCGTCGAGCTGACTACAACGGTGAATAAAAATTGTAGCGATAAAATGAGAGTTAGTGTTGAACATCGTTGCTAATGAGAATACTTTTAACCAGCCTACTTATCTTTTTATAGTTATTTGCAATAGAGTATTTGTAACTTATAAATTTATTTTTGTAAATACATTTAACAATGCTAGTAATAATAAAACCTTCTTCGTAGCCATTTTTTGACAGAGTGGTGACCATATCCGTTATTTTGCTTACGAATACATCGAAGAACGTACAAGTGTTTGCTAACCTCACGTCCGTGTGTATATAACAGAGGCTTTGTTGATAAGGGAAATGTTTGTGTCACTATATGGAAATCTGATTACATTGAAGCTAAAATCGTCCGTTTTATTATACAACTTAGTATTAACTTTACCATTAGAAATGATTTGTCAAACAATAATCTGCTGAAAATTCACTATTATGAGTTTTTTCAATTCAAGGGTATTTCGATAAACTTGATAAAGTTGTTCATCCACATCACCGTCAGTTTGGTTATGTACAACAAGCAAATCGTCCATATATCTATATGGAATGAACAGCTTACTGTTATCAAACTTTTTGGATTTAGCATAGTAATACTCCATGACAGAGAGCGTTAGATCTGCCAAAAGTGGACTGAAAT